GTGACTTTTATCCAGTTCAATGCCCATCACAATGAAGTATTGGGGACATAGGGCACATGTGCTGCAATGCTGCAATCGCTGTGCTCCACCAATCAATTTCTTCTATAGACATTCCATTTTCAAAGTTCTTAAAGAAGAGCATCTACTGGCTGCTAAGTTGATTAATTAGATCCATTAAAGTTGTGGTTTTGGACAAATTTAAACATCCTTTTTTTTCATAATTGACAATGTTTTACATTGTCTAAAAAGGGGGTAGCATCTATGCACCAAAACCACATCATTGGAGTGCTTAGTGTCCCTTTAAAATGCCATGTACATATCGTAAGAGTTGTACCTCCAAGTGCTCACTTACCATTCTTCATCTTATTGTTATTTAACATTTAAGTACATTTAATATATTTTTTTTTTTATTCATTGAGAAAGGCACTTTTTTTTTCAATAAATGCTGCTGCTGAAAATAATATTAATAATTTACCGGAATTATAAACCACATGTCCACATGTTAAGGTACAATAGTTATTCATCCGCCTATAAAAATGTGGTTAATGGCATTTACTGTCCACACAGGAAAAGTTGTGTCGAGCAGCAACCAAATCCACAAAAGGGTTAATGCTGAACAGCAATTATGCAAATGGAAACCTGGTAACTGCCTTTAGGGTCAAAGGCCGGTTACAGCCTATCAGATCTAGAGGAGGGGTATTTAGACCCAGTTCTCATCCTGCTCAGTGCTCTGTTGTGGTTTCCCTTGTGGTTGTCCGAGAGCGCGTTATTAATTCTGGTAATTCTGGTTATTATTGACTTTGTTTTAACTTCCCTGTTTTCTGGCATCCCTGATTCCTGGCTTTTCCTTATCGTTGTGTCCCTTTCTGTTTCCCTTGACCTCGGCTACTCCTGACTAGTCATGTTGCGAACCGTTCGCGAACTTGCCGCGAACGGTTCGCCACGAACCGTTCGCGGCAAACTCCGGTCAGCTGACACATCCCTGCCAATCTCCGGCAGACCCTCCCTCCCAGACCCTCCCACCTCCTGGACAGCATCCATGTTGAAGCTGCCTTCAACATGGATGCTGTCCAGGAAGTAGGAGGGTCTGGGAGGGAGGGTCTGCCGGAGATTGGCAGGGATGTGTCAGCTGACCGGAGTTTGTGGCGAATGGTTCACGGCAAGTTCGCGAACGGTTCGCGACATCACTATTCCTGACTATTCTTTGGTACGTTAGTCCGGCCATTCTAAGGTCCGGTATATACGTTACCTATCAGTCCTCTGTGTTACACAATTCTACGTGCTGGATCATTCTGTAATCCTGACAAATAGTAGGTATGCCTTGAACATATTTGTATCTCTGACATATATCTTGGTGTTACGGCTCCATTATGCTTTATTTTGTGTACTATTGGGGTTCACGGAAGGGGACCTTGAGAACCTGCACCCATTTATACACCTGTCAGTAGTGCTGGTCTCTCTCTACCTCTAATCTATGAAGTTTATCTTGATCAAGGAAATTTTGGGAATTCTCAGGAAGTCGTGATTATTTATTTGATTTGATTGATTGTCATGATCATTATTGTGAAATTTGTATGCTGCACCCTACTTTATTATGTTGATATTATCAAAATTACAGACAATGTTAAAGTGTTTTAAGGACTAGGAGTGGTTCTGAAGTGAGCCAGTTCTGGAAGGACATTTAAGCCTACATGACCTCTATCATATCACTCACAATATCTCTAACTCCATAGATGGTGATTTTGGTAATTTCTCCTTTTTTAAATAACTATTAAAGAGAAACCATACAAAGTTGTTTTCCTGGCACCATAGCTCCCTTTAGTACCCCTGCCATTGCGTTAATTTAGCAGATAAAGATGAAGTGAATTTATTGCTTAAACTGCCCCTTTTAAGTATTGCATGTGGGCCCTCCTGCATCATCTGCATAGCTGAAATGCTATTTGTAAAAATGTAAAAATATGCTGAGAAAGCAACCTATGCATTTTTATAGAACACAATTATAGATCTGGGACAGGAGCTACTAAAAAAGTAAAATAGGACATAGGCATTCAAAAAAAAAAGGATATTGCTATTTTTGGACATCTTTTTTACCTTTATGCCCCAACACAGAATTCCAACCCATCCCTCGGGTATTATATTAACCCATTGTAATCACAGAAGCCAAATAAATATTCAATAATGTAAAGTAATCACCTAACTTATCAAAGCTTGGCAAATGGTGTGCAGCCCTAGTCCTGCCACAACTGACTAGTAATCCCAAAATGTAAAAATAGGTATAGTACTTGAAGAACAGCTGAGGATGGTCAAAGGGATTATTTCACGTTGAAGGAGTGGTATTTTTTCATTTCTGATATTCTTGAGAACTGTCCCAATCTACACAACAAGATGAAGGAAGAAACATCACTACTGGAAAAGCAGAAACTTGGGGCCTGATTTTCTGACCAGTGAGTATGTTGCTGGAGAGGTGGAATATTGCCCAAGAATCATTGAAAATCATTTGGTCTTCTTCATTATAGGCATAACAACCAGAGTTACAAATAAAAGTAAATGTGTTTGTCACACTTTATCTATTGAAAAAAATATTCCCATGGGGCATGTCTAGAAGCATGACCACATTTTTAAAAAAGCTCCTTCCCAGCCCATGCAATAAGTCCATCTGCCATCTCACAGCCGTAAAGACTGATAAAACCTGTGTAAATAAGCAGGAGCCTCTTTGTCTAGATCTTTTTTTCCTCGATCATTGATCACAAACATAACAACCATTGATAGGTCCAAGACAGTAAATAAAGCTGCGGATGATCACACTGACACCCCACAGATAAGAGTAGAATGTTTTTAAAATTAACTCTACATCCGAGACAAACTTCATGAAGGCCTAACACCTCAGCAAACTTTCAAAGACCATCCAGATTCATCATGCAGAGTATTTTAGTGGCATTATAGAGAATTCATCAACCATCTTAGATTCATGAAAGAAGAAGGGAAAAAATGAAGGGACTGAGGGAAAAATACCTTATGCATAGTGGATAACAAGTATGGTGTACTGATATTTTCCTTTATTAAGTGAAAGAAACTCAAGCTAACATCCTGCTTGCTCTGACTACTTTTGATGAAGTAGAACAAGCCAAACATGCCCTGCTATTTAGAAAATCCCTAGATTTATATGGGCTACCCCATAGTTTTCCTAAAAGATACATAAACATACTGTTGCCATACTTATGTAGAGTCTTCAGTGATGCCTTTCAATCTGGGTTTTTGCGATTGGCCAGCATTATCACATTAAAGTGCAAAAAGTATAAAACAATCAAGTAAAAAATGGCGCTATAAAATCAATAAAAATAGTAACACTAACAAAGGCTAGCAAGCACTAATAAAAGTGAAATAGCTCTAAAACCACTCAAATAGAACACAAAAAAGAAAAAAGTGCGCTGTGCCTTAAGTGCTAATATGATTGCATTTGGGACTAATAAAGTGCATTGAAGCTGACACCACGCCTACACAGACGGGTATATATTTTGAGAGACGGCAACCACCCGAACGTGATTTGAGGAAGCCGTCAAGGCGAAACGCGTCATCACGTTTTTCGGACGCACGACGTCATTACGTGTCAATAGCACCTCCTATTCCCGGAAGCATCTAACCACTGGAAGACCGCAAGTGCATGCCGCGAGTCAGAAGTGGATTTGAACCAGCTTGGCTTTCCAGGGAGAGGGGTGATGATTTACTGTGTTATTTTATACCAATAAAAGTCTTATTTTTATTTGGTGCCGTCCTGCTTGCTTCAAGCACATTTATCAACTATCCTACAGAATCCTGCTGAGAGGATTTGAATGCTTTTATAGTTGGAGCAGACTTTTTTCTGCTCTACCATTGTGAGTGGTATTCTTTTATTATCTTCTGATTACATTTTCTATACAGTGTTACACTATATTGTGTTCTTTTGTTCCCCTATTTTCTATTTTTATGTGGAGCGTTTTAAAGAGATACTCCTTCAATCGTCAGCAGTTTCTATATTTAAAGGAGTAAGTGCTTTTTTGTTTGAACTTCACAAAGAGCACATATTCACAGGGTATTTACTACTGGATAAAATTTATTTGCACTTTAATAACATATATATTATTCTTGCACTTTATTCACTACTGTTTGATTAATATTTGTTTACAAATTGTTCATATTGTTATATTATCACTTAAAGGCACAGCGCACTTTTTTTTCTTTTTTGTACAGCATTATCACATTAACCAAGCCTGGCAAACCAGTTACATCTGGTAACAATTAATCTCATTACTCTAGTCTACACTGACGTAAAAATATATGCAATGATAGGCTAATGGATTAAGCAACATTCAGCCATGTTTGATACACAATAATCAGGTGGTGTTCGTGAAACCGAGGCGGTGCTCAGACAGTGGCAGAAGAAAAATTTAATACGCATGGTAGAAAGGCCCTACGATTAATTCATTTGATATATACTAAATAAACGTGATTGCTTCCACTTTCATAGGTGTTTGTAAGTGCATGCAAACAACTTCGAGAGATTTAGGTTATTCTGAGCCTAAAGTATGTCAGATAGCCATTGGAATCTTTATTGTAATCTAGAAAAAGCTTTTATGTTACAAGGTCAATTCAAATATGCAATGACAAACACCTCTGATCCACCAAATAAAATTACACCTACACAGTTGGGGAACAAATTAAATTTCATGACAAGGCAGAATTGCCTGTATTAAAATGTATTTTGTTACTACCCCATAGAAATATAAGAACAACGGTCATAGAGTTTAAGGATTGATCACTTTAACCAGTTGACATCATCTGTCACTCTGAACTACAGCTCCAGGGACAATGGAAAAACAGAGGATATTATTCACGGTTAGCCAATGCCACTGTTTCAGAAATAATATCAGGAATAGTGATGTCGCGAACTGTTTGTGAACTTTTCGCGAACGGTTCACCGCGGTTCGCCATGAACCGTTCGTCGCAGACTCCAGTCAGCAGACACATCCCAGCCAATCTGCAGCTGACCCTCCCTCCCAGACCCTTCCACCTCCTGAACAGCATCCATTTTGAAGGCAGCTTCACAATGGATGCTGTCCAGGAGGTGGAAGGGTCTGGGAGGGAGGGTCAGCTGCAGATTGGCCCGGGATGTGTCTGCTGACTGGAGTCCGTGGTGAACGGTTCGTGGCGAACCGTTCGCGACATCACTAATCAGGAAGTATTACTTTACTGAGAGGGTAGTGGATGCATGGAATAGTCTTCCAGCTGAAATGGTAGAGGTTAACACAGTGATGGAGTTTTGAAGGCAGCTTCACAATGGATGCTGTCCAGGAGGTGGGAGGGAGGGTCAGCTGCAGATTGGCCGGGATGTGTCTGCTGACTGGAGTCCGTGGCAAACTGTTCGTGGCGAACCGTTCGCGACATCACTAATCAGGAAGTATTACTTTACTGAGAGAGTAGTGGATGCATGGAATAGCCTTCCAGCTGAAATGGTAGAGGTTAACATAGTGATGGAGTTTAAGCATGCATAGGATAGGCCTAGGGCTATCCTAACTATAAGATAAGGCCAGGGACTAATGAAAGTATTTAGAAAAATTGGCAGACTAGATGGTCCGAATGGCTCAAATCTGCCGTCACATTCTGTTTCTATTTGTGCTAAGTGACTGTACAGTATCTTATCCAAACTAAGATTTTGCAGGTAAATCCCTATTAAAGAGACAATATAAGCACCAAATCAACTTTCACTTAATTGAGTGGTTTTGCTCATCATGCCCCTGCAATCTCGCTGCTCAATTCTCTGCCATCTAGGAGTTAAATCACTTTGTTTAAACAGCCACATCTCCCCTGCATATAACCTACACAGCCTCCCTACACATTTCCTGTAAAGAAAAATCTAATGTTTAAACTTCCTTATTTCACATTCTGTTTAATTTAAAATGTCTTATCGCCTACTATGTTAACAACCTACTAGTGCCTGTGGGAGCCTCATGTGTGATTAAAACTAGATTGTTTTATGTTAGCTGTGTGAGTCACAGTCAGGAGAGCTGTGGTTAGGGCTACCAAAACAAAATTGAAAGGCTGGTGGTCTTCACTAACCTGCTGAAGCCTCGTGTACAGGCTTACAGTGACTCAACACTGCAGGTTATTAAAAAAGATACCTGCAGTGTATTTTCTTGGAAGGATCATGAAATAAGCAGTTTGTGATCAGTTTTGTTGCTTATGTTAACCATAATGGGAGTTAGGAGATTATTGAAATGAGGAAGTTAAAGGGACACATCATGCACCACAACCTACACTACAGCACACTGTAGTGGTTATGGTCCTGGAGTCCCATTGTTCTATCTAGCAGAAAACTGTCAAACCATTAGAGCAGTTTGATGTTTGCTTGGCCCTGCCAGGGGCCTGTGGTCCTTACAGTCTTAGCTAAGGTTGATACTACTTACTGCATTAGAATACAATTCTGGGACATATTTATTGGCTCATTGCTCAGTCATTGAATAATATCCCAAGCTTGGTATGGGTTGTTATGATATTGTGAAAGTATAAACTTCAACTTTACAATACCAACTCAAAACAGAAGCAGTACTGGTGCATGACGGATACAGGTGTCAAACCGTTTGGATAGTTTACTGTCGGGATTCTGTAGTGGTCATGGTATTAAGAGTATCCCTTTAAATTCAAATGATTTTTCTTCATTTTAATTTTTTTACATTTTACTTAATAGGGCACTCTGGAAAACCTAACGTTAGACACAATATAAAAATTAGGTTCCAGTCAGTTGGATATGCTGCTTTTTTTTTGTTGTTTTTTTGATGTTGCATTTTTTTATTCATTTTTTTTTTCCAAAAGCCTATCCTTTCTGCTCATATTTCCCAACCTGAAGTTTCCAGTTTTGCTCCAATACACGTTAGACATTTATAAATTACCCGGTGTTATTTCCTGGTTTGGTGAGAACTCACATGCCTCTTTTTACTTCCACAACCCTCCCTTCTGCTCCATCCTTCCTTGATCACATCCCTTGCCCTACTTCCCTTCACAGTCTGTCTCAGTCCCATGTATTTCCTATTTTTCCATACCAATATGTTAAGTGTGTATCCAGTGTCTATACCATATGTATAGTCCACATAAGTTGTATGTGCATGTATGTACCTATATAAATAAAACATACATCTCAGTAGGCATTTAAGCATTGTAAAAATCATACCTTACTGCACCATTCCAGGCTGTCAGACAAGTTTCTGAATATCTGCATTTACTGTACCTTAGGGTGTAAGAGATTCATCGAGGGATGGGAATACGTAGCGCTTGTTCCCTTGCATGCATATTAATGTTGCAGGACAGCTTGTAGATCTCTTGTCTGTCAGAAGCATTGCGTGTGCTGCACCATTTAGTACAGAGGTGTCAAAACATCATTGGGTTCTAAAATAAGTAGTAGTACATTCAGCAGAGATACACACATATCTAATCAAATATTTCATGCACTCCTAATTATTCATTTTAATGCAGCCTTGCAATATGCATTATCATTAAGGTTGCCTGTTAAATGGTGATTAATGTATATTGCAAGTGACTCATTATGTGTTATCTGTGCCGATCCTATATAATACAGGTGGCTATTTTTGTAGCATTATTAAACGTGGAAACACTTATCCTATATAGTTCATTTGGCTGTTTTTGCATCCTTGTTAAGGGTTGCTGGGCTGTATAGTGCTTCGATTGGTGAGCTAGGTTTTAATTTGCCCTAAATGTGCTAGAGGGAAGGTGCAGTAGGAGTTTCGTGGTAATAAACCAGGTCCTTTTTGCAAAAGTAGAGCACAGCGCTAATGCAAAAATCAAACAGTACAATAGGCAAAGTAGGAATTGCTCACTGCTAAGCATACTATCTATGATTAGCCACTTCAACTAACTCCTCACATGCCGCTGTATAGAAATATTTTGGAGGGACAGTCCTTGTTTTGGCCTCAAATCCCTCTATCCCTCTTTCCTGTCATAATGTCCCTCTTTTCTAAGCGCTACATATTGTTGGTGTTTCAGCGTATATAATGGAGGTACACCGTACATAGCACTGACACTCACAGTAATGTAACTACAATACATGTGTTTAGAAATCAGTCTTGAAATAAGATACATTGTTCTTATTCTAAATTATATTTTAGTTGTTATTGGTAAATCACATAAAATCTCTCAGAATAGCCTTGCTCCTGGCTTGTCCCCACTTAGACCCCTAAAATTAAGTGTCTCTCTTAGTCTACTGAAAATGCAGAATGATAGTTCTAGCTCATGAGTGCGATACACACCTAGACACCGATGGCTAGAACATCTGAGTGGTACCACTGACCATTTTATTTGTATAAATTTTCACTATATTGTTTATAGCTCTACACAAATCCAAAAATAGTTGAATTATCATTGCATAAGGCATGTGGGTACATTCAGAAAACTTCATAGGTCAGAATTTAGCATCCATATAGGGTACCTTACAGATAATTATTTGTAAATCTTTATATTTTGCAGTGCTCGGTTTAACAAACAGTCTTGTGTTGCCACATCAGCAGGTACAAGTGAAGGAATATGTACAGGGTAAACAATATCATGGCATTTATTATCGGCACAATTTATTTTAATAAAATCAAGCTAGGAAAATATGTCTAAAACATTGGCTTAAACTAGGCAGGTAGATACGAGAGGTACGTTAGACATAGTGATTAATAACTAGTGAGAAAGTATGATAAGACAACATTAGTTCGGTGACCTAGGGCGACATGCTAAACTGCACATTATTGAACAATAGGATGTCATGTTATATACGCGTATCTACGGACATGGACAGTGCTGGGGATTACATGGTGAATGTATGTCAGGAACGCTACTTGGACAGTCAGGATGAACTAGGTACATAACTTTGTATAGATCCGATGGAACATGCTTATATAGAAAGCAAGCGTTATAGCAGTCAAGGCCATGGAAACATCGAGCATGTCATGTTTTTTTAAAAGAGAATCTAAAAATCAGGTTAATAAACATACTAGGTTAACCACCAACCCCCTGGAGCCAGTCAAAATAAAAATTTGCAAAAAGACAACAAAATGAGCGTGTCTGCTAGGTGGGAGGCTAAATGAGAGTATCAGCTCAAAAAGTTGAGTTTGGGTCCCAGAACGCTCTCGGCTGGGAGTGTTGTCTAGCGGGACTGTGGGCTAAAGAATCAACAGTCAGCTGATGCCACTGCTGGGTAGGATGGCACCTTGAGCCGGGAGAGTCCACAGGAGTACAGTGAGTTCAAGGCCGTCCTCCAGCTTCAGGCCGGTATGAAGGCCAGGATCTGCGGTCCACAGACTCGGTATCTCGTTGAAGCCGGGTCTTCCATCTGTTGGGCGCCATGGAGAGCTCGGATGTTCTGCAGTCACCAGCGAAGGTTGGGCTTCCTGCGGTGTGGTCATGCCGTGGAGGCTTTCTCCGAGTGACTTTCAGCCTAGGAAGGTGTTTAGGATGGACAGTGTTAGCTGCTCTGTGGGGTTCGCCCGATGGAGGCCTCCCCCAACTCCATTCCTCGATCCCCTTCACCACTCTCTCAGGATTAGGCTGCTCCTGTCTGCTGCAGTGCTCAAAATGCTCCCAAAACCTTTGGAAGATTCTGTCCAGTTGCTCGATGTAGTGCTCCACCAGGTTATTGCCTTGGCCGCCATGGGGTGTTAGCGTGGGCTTCTGCCACTGGGATATAGACGCCATCTTGTGTGGCCTGCTGGCCGTGTCGCTCAGGCTGTAGGGCATAGCCGGGCCTTGTTTTCAGGTTTGCACTGAAGTTTGTGGCCTGGTGTGGCAGTGAGAGAGCGGCCATCTCTCCCGCGGCTTCCCTGCTTGCCGTTCGTGGACGAACTTCAAGATTTGGGTACCGTTTTGTGCCGTTTCAATTGCAGATCAGCCCCCCGGATCAGATAAGTTACCTGGTGTGGTAATTCACTGTAAGGGCTTAGATTGTGCCCATTGCTGCTGGAGCTATTAGCAAGTGCGTCTGGCCATCTTGGCTATCAAGGCCCGTCCCTCACAAATAATTATTTAGGCTCCTTGCATGTACCGCTATCAATATGTACATTTTGTAAACTGAAAAGCTGACTTTCTCTGCCACCAGTATCATCACTACAAGGTCTATCACCT